TGGTGATGAAATTTTATGTCTAATAAAGTTTAGAGAATTCTTTGAATGGCTAACAAATAATAAACACCAGAATGGAATCGCGCTGTACCATGTAAATTAATTACTTAAGTGATTTATTGAGTTATGTCGATTTATGTATGACGTAATTACTGTTTCCTTAGTATTTTCGGGTTTCTGGACGTTGCCCTTTGTATAGGGTTCCGAACAGATCACAGCGTTCCAGAAATTTCGTCTATATCCTTCCTCATGTGAAAAAGTTAGGGGGGGGGGTATAGCGCCTCATTCATCTACATTAGGGATGGGCAATTACCAGGCACGCTGACAGAGGCATTTCGTGATTTTATTCCGTCCTTCAGGCTAATTGCAGGAGAATACGTTACATTATCTCACGAATGCGTTTTGCCACGTCCGATGGAATTAATTATTCACTAAACACTATTCCGTTTGACCCTGTACAGTACAAACTGTTGACTTAAGTCGCTGTCACATAAATAGATAAATATAAAATAGACACTGGCATATTTAATGCGTCGTTAAGCAGCGTATTTATGAGATATTTGGCTAAAAGTCCAATAATTATGTTTGCATTAGTTTTAAGAGTTCTGTCTACAGTGACACCGTCTAGTCCGGTAGATACTGTCACATATCAGATGTTTGCGTGACTAATAAAACGGGGTTTGGATTTGATGATCGAATTTATTGGACCTTCATACAACTGGTTACAACAATTCACAAATCACTGTGACACTGCCATCTTCCGACTGGACACTCCACTTCAACTATTCTGTCTTTCAACTGAACTGTGAATTGATTCTGACCGATGGTCAGTCGGTCAGTCTGTCTTGGCATAAAGCACCCATCTTGGGCTTACGACCAGATTCTTATTATACTATCAGTCAGTTACAGGTTTGTTGATGTGGGGCGTTCTTTCTGACGAGAGGACGGGTCTGTCGTTTACAAATGCTGCTAGTCCTTGCCAGCGCAATCATTCACGGGTCCGAGTCCTGTGGGACTCGCAGCTATGTTTTACTATCTCAGATTCGAGACTTCTCTTTCCATCTCCTCCTACGACTCGCAAGGCTACAGTGGAGGTATTCGATCCCGCATCCACACAGGATTCTCGTTTTTGTGCCGTGAGAACGCGTTTACCGAGCCGTTGCCTAGAAACGAATGTTGTTTCAGAGCCGTCTGCTATGAACGGCTGTTTCTCTGGCTCCACAGTTCGTGCTTTGAGCAAATATGCCACAATAGTTATGCCTATCCTTTCGCAAGGGGTAAGTGAGCGTGTAGCAGCAAACAGAATTCGTGTGTGAGGTGCGTGCGTGTTGAATTACGCTTAATTATATTCACACTTGGACTCATGGCGGCATAATGGGATAAGCCAAATTTGGGATTTCATGTGTCAGTATTAACTTCGGAATTTATCAGATAAATTTATGGGCGGAATGCTGAGCAGGACAGACCAAGTCGAAAGCCTAAAATGCCTAGCTTTTTTGTACACAGATAGGTCCGATGTGAAATCGAAGACAGGATTATTCAGTTTTGGAACATTAGCAGACCCAGTTACTTAATCCTTAGTGAACAGTATTGTTTTATGCTCTATTACGCCGTGTACTTCGGAGATAAGGCGATGTTTCGAAGCAACATAACGTCTCCATCTTCAGGGTCGAAGAGTAAGCCAAGCAACGTCAGGTTACAGCCTGCTGATTTCTATTTTAACTTAATCTTCCACCCGTAAGATGGAAGCGATATTTTTTTTGCAGAACATGGCTCTACCCCGAACTAAACGGCATTACAAAACCCGGAAACAGCACTTTTCATAATGAACCCTAAGATAACCTCAAATCATACGAAATACGTAATTCCCTTTGTTTTCCGCTACACGTAGGTCACCATCCTAGCAACACGTACTCTTGTCGAATTGGGTAAAGTTGTCATGTACACTTCTGTAAGCTGTGCGGTTTCAGCAACTCGAAGGGACCACGCAACCAGAACATTTAAGAGGTCTTTAATTTTTTTTTTAGTTTCTTTGGGTGGGGTGAGACTGAGTTCACTTTGTACGTCGGCCTCTATTTGGCATATTGTACCAGCCCCGGATGATAGATGATGATGATGATAATGATGATGATTGTGGAGCAGTCAGTGGACTGAGAATTGGCAAAGGAAACCGAAGTACTCGGAGGAAATCTACACAAGTGCCACTTTGTCCACCACAAATCCCACGTGACCTGACGCCGGGCTCGAACCCGGTCCTCCTCGGTGGGAGCTGGTGACTAACCGCCTGAGCTATGGCACGGCAAGGCCATTATAGTAGAACTATTTAGTTTTCAAACAGTTCTTTAAGATCCTAGCACGAAATGGAACCCACAGAATGCAAGATGCTGATCGTCCCTGAAAACAAGAAAAGCCAAAGCAAATGTGAGGCTGCTTGTTGTGTGGGTGTGTGTGTTGCTTTAGGATGATTTCAGTATCGAAGACTTTGCAGCGTCGAACGACAGAATTAGGACTAAGAATGATGAATTGTAAAGGGCTTGAAAGGAAGCGGTTGCGACCTAATTGACCCAGTATCACGGAATTTACTTTTATTGAAGAAAAATGACAAAAAATCTCAATCTGTACAGGCGGTGTCCCATCCGAGCCTCGAAGTGACAATTTTCCGAATACAAGCCAAAAGCGTTACGGTTAGACGAGGCTACTTGGTGAAAATATATAGTTTGGAAGACGTTTCGGAGGAATATATTTTCTCCATCTTCTGGGTAAAAGAGAAATATGGAAAGACATATCCGGACTTGGGTTATAAAGGAGCCCATAGGAAGCTGTGGGGGGGGGGGGTGAAAAGAGCTGCTTCGTGAGCACAGAAGCCACGCGAGAAAAACAGACTCGCAGGTGAAAAGTAGGCGGACACGTGGTCACCGGTTCCTACTGGTTCTCTCAGGACCGTGTTTCAATCCCTTTTCTCTGTTAGAGCGTGTAGACCTGTTGGCATGCAACGGGCGCAAGATGGGCGGTTATACCAGTTCCCTTTCTGGGCAAAAGCTCTGTAAACAAGTTCACACAACAGACACGAACGCAACAATAGAAGAGCTCTGTTTTCTGTGTGGTCCGTGCCGAGATATTATAAGCAAAAGACTAGTCCTGTCTGTACGGGAGTCTGTGAAGAGAGGACTTGAGTGCTTGAAGCTGAAAAATTTGAACTGTTAAAGCCTTTGTCGGGGAAAGGCTTAGCGGGTGCTGTGGTGATCTGTGGAGAATAGAGGTGGCGCTGTAATTGCTTGTAGTTCGAATCGTGTGTATAAGTGGTCAATAAGTCGAGTCACCAATCCAAACCCGGTCCATAATCACCCCTACACGTTACAATATCCTTACCATTTTTCCCCGCGTGGCAGCAGGATTCTGCAAAGTTTCGGAGCCTAAGTATGAAAAGAACGGCGACACATACGAGAAGTCCGCGCTATGAGAGCCTCAAATGTTATACTGTTGTTATAATTTAGTACTCTTTACCTGAGAATGAAGACAAAACACTACAATACGTTAATTATGTGCTTAGAAAATAATTCAGTATTGGTTATCTGTGTGTGCAAGTACCCTCAAGGAGCAAGTACACACTGTTGTTCACTGTAGGCCCTATGCACAGGGCTCAGTGTCGTTCAGTATATACTTTATTAGCTCTTTCGCCTACACTATGCAAAACTGTGATTTTTATAAATTTTGTTTTGGTTTTCTGTCATAATTTCCTGGGATTTCGTCTCTGTAGCTTTTACAGATTAATTTTGAAACAGAAAAATATTCAACTAATGATATTTAAGTTCTCTTCCTTAATCATTAAAACTGAAATATTTATATTTACGAAATTAAAATTAGATGGAGTGATCGCAGGCACTGTTAATCCAGCATAGCAATTTTACGCCTAGATTTTCAAGCATTTGCAGTCATACATTTTGACATCTTTTGAAATATATAAAAAATGAAGAGTAAATAAGTATGCGCCAAAATTACAGTACTGAAATGAAAAGACGTCCTGTTGATACCACTGTCTATTCATATGAAGGCCCCTTGCAAGACAGAACCTTTCCAAATCCTGAAGAAATGGTCCGATCACCATGTCTCTGTAGCACAACACAACTTCCTTTTCACTACTGGGAACACGTGCGGCTGGAGCTATGCCCCGTCGACAAACGCACATGCGCTTTCGAGATGCGCGAGTTTCAGTACTGTTTTTATGGCGCGTACTGTATATGTTCACCTGAGATTATGGAGGCAGATTACTTTTAATTATAATGAATCACAAGATATACAGAGATTAAGACCTTCGGATTCATTACTTTATCTTTCTTAAAATATATAAACTCTAGTATAAAATTTGTTGAGTTGAAATTAATTTTTGAGTAATCATGTACATGCAGTCAAAAAGATTTTTGTATTGAATGTATCCGCAATTACATTAAGAATTATTACGTGAGTATGACTTGCAACCCTTCTTGTAGAAACTGTATAAATGTTGTTATTGTTGTTTTCATTCAGTCAGGAAACTTCTTCATGCTTTTTCGTTGTCGTTTGTGATTTGTTCCTTCAGCATAGATTTTTTTAAAAATTCTTTTTAAGTTCGCTTAGTGGGGGGGTGGAATCCAACTGGGTCCACTCGGCACGGCGGCCACTGATTGGCCTATTCTAGCGTGCCTCGGGTGATTATGATGATGGAGAATTGGTGGAATGAAGATTGACAGGGGAAACCGAAGCACTCGGAGAAAACCTACCCCAGCGCAACTTTGTCCACCACAAATCCCACTTGACCAGATCCGGGATTGGACCCAGCCCGCCGCGGTGATAACCGCTTGAGCTATGGCGCGGCCGTCAACATAGGATACTTTCATACAGAATTTCTTTTCAGTTAATTTTATTATCTCTTGGCACCCAATTCCCGAACATTTAAAGTACAGAATAGTTTTACATCTAAGCCCTTTCTCTTGCATTTCCTAATATATTCCTACAAATAATTCCAGAAATTTTATCAGCGAAGTGTTTTAATCGATATGAAACCAGAACAACACGCTTCAACTTGTGCTTAAACGACGAAGAAGGAATATTGTTTCTACGAAGCGAGACTCAAACCTAGAGAAATGAAAAATGGACCAGTAATTGAAGTTGTGCGTATAACAACATTCGTAACCTGACCAGCGTTTTCTGTTAATCAAGTGTTAATTCGGACACTTTAAAGGACACGTTCATTATCGAAGTTTTGGTGCATCTACCATCGCAACATAAATGTCTGAACAGGATAACAATTTCGACGATGAGGTAAGTGTTCCATTTCGAATATAGTCAACAGATTATCCCTTCAAAGCACTATGTTTGACTCAAAACTCGACTTCACGGAAAACGCAGCTGGTCTCCATTACAAAGACCAATCAGGCTGTTAAATACACTCTCTGAACAGAATGTCAGAATGCTGTAATGGTAAACAAATCGGTATACATAGTAACCACTATGCTTTGAAGGGTTAATACAGAGATGGCAACATCTGTTTTGGTGAAGTGTCATGTAACTGGCTTTTGTTTGCAGGAGAGTTTCCTAAAATTTGTCACCGTAGTCCGCGTGTACCCGTTCTTGTAACAAGCATCAACTTGTATGGAAGTCAGTGGAGCCAACATTCCAAATGCATTTCTCGAGTTACGTGTGAAATTCGTCATATATATAGGAAGGGCGCCTAATTTGGAGGGGGCTATTACAAGGCTTACAGAAAGAAGAAAGCAAATAGTACACCAATGAAATAGGGGGCACGCGGTAGCGTAATTAAGTCATTATGCTACAACCAAGAAGATCGCGGGTTCTATTCCCGATGATGTCGTGGGATTTTTCAATTGACCTAATCTTTCCAGGCCCTCTATGGCCCTGGGTTTCACTCAGTCTCTAATAGAATGAGTACCAGCAGCCTTCCTGAAATAAAGGGCGGCCGGCACGTAAGGCTGACAACCTCACCGCCATCTGTGAGCCGTTCATCTAGAAAATGAGGGAGCTTCGACGTCTCACAGGCCTATGGGCCCCCGTGGCTTGTTATAGGGACAGTTTTTACACTAATTAAGTAATGGGAAATTTTTCTTCGTTTATTACCTGTGACACTATATAATTATTAATGTAATTACCAGAAAGACATGTTAAATATAACGAGAACTGGAGAACAATGACTTCCCCACATTAGGCGCACATGGGTTCCTAATTTGAATAGACCTAATTATTTGCCCAAAAACCGTATTTATTCCACACCTTTGAGTTTATAATTAACAGGGTATTCTAGATTATTGTCGGGGTTTCCGTGGCGTATAACTTTCAAACCGGTGGTAATAAAATAAATCTGCTTACCTAATATGAGAGTGCAACAAAAAAGTTACAGTATTAATAAATATATTTTTTCAGTTCTCTTTTATATTCCGTAAACAGTTTTATTTTGTTGTTTCCGATTTGAAAATTACAGCCCACGGAAACCCCGACAGTAATTTGGGATCAGTATGTATTTTTTTTTGCACATATGACGAAAACTGCCCAATTTGGGGGATAACACTGTCTGTCAGCCAGCCTCTGTACTTGAGAGACCGTTTTGCACATATGACCAAAAGAAAACTGCCCAATTTGGGGGATAACACTGTCTGTCAGCCAGCCTCTGTACTTGAGAGACCGTTTTGCACATAAGACAAAAAGAAAACTGCCCAATTTGCAAACTTGAAGATCTTCAAGACATATTATCATCATTGCCCTAGAGCATTCACAATATATTGCCATTTTATAAAATAAATAACACGGTCTTCGTGTTGTAACACTGTGTAGTTCAGATTGAGGCCGACGTTTCGGAGGAACGTCGCCTCCATCATCAAGATGGAAGAGTAAGCCAAAGAAGGAAGTGGCAGAGACAGGTGACAAATTTCCCGCCTAATTCTTTCCGACGATATGTTCGTTCGAAACGTCGAACTGTGTCTAAACTATAAGTCAGGAGACCATTCTGTTTTCAGTCACTACCGCTAGAACATTAAATGCAACATAAAAGACTTTACATTTTGGGTTTTAATATTTGGAGTTTTTTTCCTTCCTTTTGATTTTGATTTCTTTGTTGTTTTGACAAAAGCCTGGCTCCTCCCAACCCCCATTGCCGGGCCACGTGTTAACATCAGGCGTATTTCTGAATAGTGAAATCCTGCAGACAGTATTGATTCATGAATCCCATTTGCTTTACACATGTAACCAACCATTCGGCAACCAAAGGAAAGGGAAGAGTGGGGCAGGAGGGGGGGGGGTGCTCGAGACTAGAATTTAGGGCGAACACATCCATCGAGACCTGGCCTGTGTAAAGTCTTCTGTGTTCTTTTGTTCCTGTACAAAGAACGAGAAACCTCAGCCTCCAAACGCTGATATGCTATGTTGCAGAAATCCTCTAGCTGAAAACGGTGCGTCCATTAAGATCGTATTTGTAATTACAAGGAAAATAATAAGCCGATTGAATACACAGCAAAGCCTGTCATACAAGCAGGAAATGGAGTGAAAATGCTAACTTGCTGCTGGTTGCTTCCCTTGCACACTTTTCTGTCCTGATGATGAAGGCAGTAACCGTCTCCGAAACGTCACTGAAATTCTACTGGACTACATAGTCGAGTGTTGTTCGTTACAACCAATGGGAAGAAGGAATTGATATTCAATAGGGGGGATTGTACAGGAGTTTTCAAATTCGCCTCTTTCCTTAGCTTATGTATTTACCCTCCACTCATTCATTTATCAGTGACTGTATAGCCCTTTGCTGAGTCCTGGCCACGTTTTCAGTTTCTTAATCCTATAAACATTCGGTATGACTCCTTGGACAGGGGATCAGCCCTTCGCAAGGCCGCTACCTACGCAGAGGACAACACAAACAGAATAAACACACACACATCCATACCTTGAGTGGGATTCGAACCCACGATCCCATTGTTTGAGCGAGCGAAGACAGTTCATGCCTTAGACGGCGCGGCCACTGTGATCGGCTGTTTAAGCTTAATATGCCTCAAAATGGAGCTAATAAGTGTATATACCGCAATATTTTCACGTGTCCTTGAGACTTGCGGGGAAAGGAAATTGGACGCATAATGTGTGATTAATTTCCTGTACAAGGCTTTTTCCGAATACAACCATTCTGCTTCTTAAAAGTACCAGAAATATTTGGCGATATATGCTTCAGATGAGCGACGAAATGCATGCTGGTCTGCTGTTGATTTCCGATTTTAAGTCGAAACCGGAATGTGTCCACGAAATTCCTCAAAAGCCGCAAATATTAAGTGTAACGAAAATATATGTAGTCCACAGACCAAACGCACAAAAACCTGAGAAGTGTGTACGGTACAGCCTTACTGATGTTTAACGAAGCACTGCCGTAGAGTCAGGCTAGAAAATTCCACTATAAACTTAACGTTGAAACCGTCTGAGACTTTTTCTATTGATACTTGTTTTTTTAAATTAAAAGTATTATTTAAAATACTCTTAAATTTGATGTTAATATTAATATATTTCTTTCTTATTTCTTAAATGCGGCACGCGGTAGCGTAGTTGGTTGAGACACCATGCTACAACCCGGGAGGTGGCGGTTTTGATTCTCGATGAGGTCATTCTAATTTTCAGCTGACGTAATTTTTCCAGCCGCACTATGATCCTGCGTTCAACACAGCCTCTAACAGAAATGAGTACCAAAAATTTTCCTGGGGAGTAAAGGGCGGCCGGAGCGTAAGGCTGACATCTTCACCGCCGTCTTTAAATCGATTGTCTAGAGAATGTGGGAGCCTCGACGTCTCACAACCCTATGGGCCTCCACGGCCTCTTACAGGGATAACTTTACCTTTTTCCTTATATTTTGATTTTCCTTTCCTTAAGATGCCGATTTTGAGGAATGGAGCAGAGGCCTGGTTTCATTTTGCGTGCGTAAATGTTAACCATGCCACCTCTGCAGCCCTAATACTGCATTGGCCATGCTTTGGAATCCAAACAGCATTCGTCTATGCAGTTTAAAGTCTTCCTATGACGCTGTCAGTAGATCAAAACATACAGCAGAATGTTTGGATGCTTAGTAAATTATGAATTGGTAGTGACGTAAAAGAAAACTCTCGTGGCCTATTTTAAGGTATTGTCCAGGCACTTGTCTCCTGAAAGAACTGAAGGACACGCAGTATATTTGATGTCTTTGCCGGAAATTCGAAGCTGGTACCTCTGGAATTGAAGGCAACTTGTCCTGGTTCTTTTATCGCTTTCGATATATGCCCGAGGTAGAAGTTTCCTAGGAGTTTTGTCAACGGTTTTATTCTGTGTCTGTTTTCTAGTGTACAAAGCGTATCTTTATGTTACCGCATGATGGAGTATGGATTCATGAGCACATACACTGTCGCAGATGGCCTAAAATGCTGAGACGCCTCTAAATGAGCAAGAACACACACGTACGAGCATATACATGCTCTGGGTAACATTTCGAATTAAACTCACCCACTTACTGAACATTTCCCACAGTCTCATCTAGACTCAACAAATGTAGATTTCTGAAGCTGGTTCTCCTTCCTTCTTCAGGTAGAAATAAAAATCATACTGCATTAGGTCAATCTAATGGGACTTCTTTGAAATATAACGGAGGATATCAGCGCCGCGGTTTCCTTATCTCTCCATTTCGCACAAGGCCTTAGTCTCGTAAGCCGCGGGTTTGTTGACTTCCATTTCATGAACGTAACTACCACGATAGGCGAGAATTTTCTGCCATGTTTATTGTTTCTAAAATAGAATGAAATACTAGGAATTACTGGGAATTTGGATTTCGTCCGTCGTTCCATATTCTAAAGAACACAGTGCTTCGAAATCTTGATCTGCTTCTGTCCTCGAGTGAAGTGAGAGACGTCTCCTTTATTGGGTTCCTTAGAAAAATATGGCATTAATCGCTGGACAATCCATGTCAGCATAACTACAGCAATGTGTACTTCTGAGAGATCAGGATTTGTGTATGGGAGAAGAGTGGAAAACATGTTAATACAATTTGTTATAAAGCTTGTACAGAACTTAAACTAAAGTAAAAAAGGAAGTGGAATATTTACCTAACAAACCAAATCTATGAATAGGAATTAAAAAAAATGTAAAGCTATCCCTGTAACAGGCCATGGTGGAGGTTGTAGATTTGTAAGACGTCGAGGCTCCCACATTTTTTTTTAGAAAATCGGCTCACAGATGGCGGTGAGTTTGTCAGTCTTAAGGGCCGGCCGCCATATACCCTCCTAAAAAGATTTCTCGTACTCATTTCTGTTAAAGGC